GCCAATAGTGTTTCTAGACCCATCTAAGTATATGCCTAGTGTTAAATCTAGAAGGGTAGCTAGTCCTAAAGGGTTAGGGTTGGTTCTCGGGTAAGACAACTAAGGGAAGGGAAGGGGTTTTGTCGAGACGATAGTATTGGAGGAGGATATAATAAGTCAACAATATAGCCTGAGTGTAATCTAAACGATAGATTAATAAATAGGTTAAACATAAGTATAAGAGTTTATACCCGCGTTCCTATATACCGAGCCTAATTAGTTGCTTAGTTGAACTAATCATGGTAATTAAGTCGTGCTTAGTGATTAGTATACGAGTTACTTAGTGTGATTAGTGGGCTTGGCGCACTAATTACTCTAATTAAGTTACGTAACCACGGTCACACCTATGTCCTGGTTACTTTGCCTAATTACATGTGTGGTCCGGATGACTATTTATCTCGGATCCTAATAGAATATATAAAGGAAAAAAAAAAAAGAAAAAGGTTAAGAATGCCTAAGATTATTACTAACTTAGGTATATATTGCTAAAGTATAGATATTATCTTTTCTACTACTCCTAACCTAGGGTGGTAACTGGAGTCAGTACTAAGTCCAGTTTCTAGGTTAGATTTGTTAGGGATGGAATATTCGCGCTAGCCCAATTGCCCTAACCTAGGGCGGTAACTGGAGTCAGTACTAAGTCCAGTTTCTAGGTTAAATTTATTAGGGATGGAATATTCGCGCTAGCCCGATTACCCTAACCCAGGGCGGTAACTGGAGTCAGTACTGAGTCTAGTTTCTAGGTTAGATTTATTAGGGATGGAATATTCGCGCTAGCCCAATTGCCCTAGGTATTTTATAGCACGTAGCCTGAGTCTAGTAAACATAGATTTGCCGGTCCAGTTATATTCCTATAGGCCAATTAACCTAAAATTTAGGCTGGAGATTTAGCGCATCGAGCTACACGTCCTAGCTAATTTACAGCCCTAGATTTGGTGTGGTTATAGAGGTTAGGGTTACGTGTTCGGGTTGGGGTTATATTAGTAAGATAGTAATTAGACGTTAGAGGCAACTCCACTATAGGAATTAATATCTAGTATAAGCAGCAACGCGTCGCGTTATACATTAGGTTCTAAGGTAGAAAAGACATATCACGCGAGGAATAGATTAGATAGTTAGCAAACTAGTACCCATAACCCATTAGTAGCCCATACCAGCCCGTAACCCGTAAGTAGCCCATACCGGCCCGTAACCCATTTAGGATCCCGTAGCCCGCCACTATAGCCGTATGGAAGTTCCTAGCATGACAGAACGTAGCGCCGTAGGCAAGTATTTTAAGCATTTACCTAAGTATTCGTTAGTGATATGTAGAGAATGTAGGCACGGCGTTTTACCTAGCCAGGTGCCACATCATTTATAGCGGCACCACCGGGTTCCCCATAAGGAAGCCGACTCTATAGTAGAAGAGGTAGGTAGGTGGGTGGGCGTAATCTAGTATGCAAGCCAGCTTAAGGTGCCCCAGCAGGCCGTCGCACCCACCAGCCAGTTGCCAATATATACAGATGGATTGATGTGCGAGCTAGAGCCGGATTAATGCTATTAGGTGTTTCGAAGCGCAGAGGTTATGAGAAAGCATTGGTAGAAAGCATACCATTGGTCGCCAGCAACCAGAGGCGGTTATCCTAGCCAGGTTACACAGAAACGCATAGCGTTACATAGCAAGTAGGGACATAGACGCGTATATTACTAGCGATTATTCGTCCAGGGCCCTGAGTTACAGTATTTTGAAGTCCACCAACCCGAATCCACCCCCGAACCCATAGATAGCGAGACAGGGTGGGCGTAGGTCGTCACGAATATAGATAAGGCGTGGGGTAACGTGCAAAAGTGGGCCAAGATAATAATCCAGGACGGCGCGCGCAATGAGGTGAACCCATGGCTTAAGCGAATAGGATGGATGCCGTACTTAGTAGGCATGGAGCGACCCGACTTGTTGGCGAGTGTGGAAGAGCCCAAGGCCGAAGAGGAGCCCATAGCCGCCGCGATATAGGAAGCCATGGATGGATTGGTGCGGTTTAGTCAGTCGTCCATCATCCACCACATAGGCATATTCGTACGATTAGAAGTGATCTGCACCAAGAAGCACCAGACCTAGTACCAGCCATTATAGCCATACATAGACAAGAAGTCGATCAGCGAGTATGCCCGGCCATAGTAGCAGATATTAATGTTTTTTTGGTAGATACAGCAGGAGCACGTATAGAAGAGCCCTAAGTACCAGTTCACTAAGCGGCAGCGTGAGGCGTGGGAGGCATTCGTAAAGGAGGCTAGGGGAGTAGTGGGCGGGGAGGAAGAGGATAAGGAGCAACCAGGGGCAACTTTAGATAATAAGATGACGGACGACGCAGACAGCATAGTGGGAGAGATGGAGGAAGCGCCAGTAGTAGGGGTTGGCAACATGGGCGAGCTAGAAACGTTATTAAGCATTAAGAAAGCGTGTTTGGCGTTTTACATTACATTATTAAACTAGTCCATTATCCATAAGGAGTACGACAGCCCATTAGTATGCGCATTGGCCGTATTAGGGGTTAGGGAGGATAGGTAGAAGGGCACAGACTAGTACCCACCTATATTATTAGCTATCATTAAGGTCACCCAGTTCATGATTGTATAGTAGGCGTTGGCGTTATCTAAGCCATTCAAGGATAATAGTATATACAAGAGTGACGGCAATAGTACACAGCCACTGGCCCAGCCTAAAGGGTATTTACAGTTCGTGGTGTAAATAATGGACAAGTTTATAGTATATGGCAGCCACAGCCCCATATAGTGGATGTTGGATTTACGGACGTATGGGCTGAAGATCCATTACAATATAACATTACGCAGCCATATGGAGTGGGTAGGATAGGACGAGTTATTATATAAGGAGGTATAGTTTACCATGGCCTAGTTCCACAGCATAGTGCATGGGCTATAGTAGGAGACGTAGCAGTTATTAATAGAGGATTTATTATTTAGTAATAGCGCAGCCGCCAAACCCATTCCTAGTATCCTATGGGAGCGTTTACGCGATAACCTAACCAATAAGCAACCTAGATAGAATTTTTTACAAGACTAGCGCACGCAGTTGCCTATGGATAGAGAGTAATAGTTAGTTAAGCAAGTAGGACAGGACGACTAGATTAAGGGCCAATTCATGAAGCCAGGCACCCGTTCGGGCGTAGACTAGTAAGAGGTAACATGGTACATAGATAGGGTGGTTACATTCTAAGAAAAGTTGATCGTGTTAATACACATAACCGGCGGACAGCCAGCCAGAGGCCTAGAGATTATAAGCATCCGGCACAGCAATATGGTTAAAGGGGGCCACCACAACGTATTTATTAAGGATGGCAAGGTGGTGTTTATAACAAGATACCACAAGGGGTACCAAGTTAGCAGTAATATTAAGATTATCCACTAGTATTTACTACGCGAGGTGGGCGAGCTAGTAGTATATTATTTATGGCTGGTATTACCGTTCCAGCAGTGGATAGAGGCGTTAGTATAGGAGAAAGAGGCCATGTCATCACATATATAGCCAGCCGACCCCAACGGGCGTAAGTGGACAACGGATCGAATATGGGAGGCGTTGAAGCGTAAGACCAGCGTTAGGCTCGGCCAGCCATTAATAATATTAGCATATCGCGAGATCGCCATTGGCATTAGTTAACGGTTTTTGCGCGGGTCCACGGTATTCCAGTAGGAGGAGGGAGACGAAAGCAAGGCATGGAATAAGGAGAATACGGTAGGGCTAATAGCAGATTTATAGGCCGGGTACACGGCGTATATGGCGGGCATAATATACACACGAGGCATTATAGAGTAGGCTAGAGTGGTGGTAAATAGACGGTAGTAGTTCTAGGCGTTAAGCACCGACTGGCATTGGTTTTTAGGGTTTGCACCCAACACGATGGAGGATGGATATAGAAAGTGGAAGTGGGCGCCATTCGAGAGTAAGGTAGATGAGGCCAGGATCAATTAATAGAGATGGTTAAGGACGATAGATACCGCCGAGCAGTTATAACATATGGTAGGCAAGACAGCAATATTCTGTAGCGTGCAGAAAGAAGCCATTAAGGTGATTATAGGCGGGGAGAGCCCCGTGGTGGCCGTGATACCAATAGGGGTGGGTAAGAGCATATTGTTTATATTACCAGCATAGGCAGAGTAGGGCGGCACGACCATTATCATCGTGCCGTTAATTACATTACAAGGTGACATGAAGTAGCGGTGCGAGAGGCTAGGGATATTATATATAGCATGGGAGAGCCGCCACCCACCAGACGCAGCCGCCGTGGTATTAGTAATGCCTAAGTTAGTGGTCACGCAGGAATTTATAACGTTTATAAACTATTTACACGTAATGCGGCAGCTAGACCGGATCGTAATTAATAAGTACCATATTATATTAAACTAGCGGTACACATTCCGCAAGTAGATGTAGTAGCTAGGCAAGCTAGTGGCCACTAAGACGTAGATGGTGTTATTAATAGTAACGTTATCACCCAGCAAAGAGGACGAGCTATTCCAGCGGATACATTTCGATGCCAACCAGGTTAAGGTGTTCCGGGCAGAGACGGCACGCACGAACGTGGCATATTAAGTAATTAAGATAGGCTGGACAGTAAGGAAATAGGAGGTAGAGGAGCTAGTGTTGGGTATAGTTTAGTAGAAGCTATAAAGGTATAAGAAGGGCAAGGTGGTGGTATACGGCAATTCGGTACGTAAGGTCTAAGAGCTGGCGTAGTAGTTAGGGTACTACGCGTATTACTATAACGCCATTAGCAAGGCAAGCATGTTAGAGGACTTCATATTAGGTAGAGGGTAGGTGATTATAGTAACGAGTACATTAGGCATAGGTATTAACATCCCCAACATCTAGTGCATCGTCCACATTAATTGGCCGTTTTCCGTGTTGGATTATGCGCAGGAGAGCGGCCGGGTAGGACGAGATGGGGCATAGAGTAAGGTAGTGATAATTATACAAGAGGGGGCACAGTAAGTGGCCAAGGATTAATAGGAAGAGAAGGAGCATGCATTAGTATGGGCATTAATAGGTGAAGGCGAGGGGCAGTAGTGCAGACGTGCGGTATTGGGTGGGTATTTAGATAGGAGTGAGGTGGAGCAGGTAGGGTGTAAGGAGGAAGAAGAGAAGTATAATATTTATAGTAGAGAGGGGACGGATAAAGAGCTACGAGAGGGGACGGATAAAGAGATACAAGAGGGGATGGATGAAGGGATATAAGAGGGGATAGACGAGGAGATAGGCGAAGAGGGCCGTAGTAGAGAAGTAGTAGTGGGAGAGGTAGAAGTGGTAGTAGTGGAAAGAGAGACAGAGAGGGAGGGCGTATAGCAAGCGTTCCAGTAGTAGTAGTAGGTTTAATGGGCCCCATAATAGCATTTAATATAGGTGCAGCAAGAAGCATATACGAATATAGAGTGGTTACATAGGTAGTTGGCATAGTAGGTAAATTAGTATAGAATATATAAGGTAGTAGGTGATAGGTAGAGTACATATAACGTCCGGTAGTATTGGCGGGCAGAAAGCGAGTAGGCCAGGGCTATAATTAGGTAGATTGAACAGGAGATCCAGTTTAAGCCATATTTAGGTTATTTTTAGTGCGGGGTGCCGCAGGAGATATATAACCAATAGGAGGAGAATGGTTAGGGGTGGTATCGGCGGTCGGTAGACGGCGATTACCAGTACTAGGGGGTTGTATTAGGGGGATTAATGGGGATCATATATAAGAGTAGGGACGGGGTATGGGAACGTTAGGCGCAGTAGTTAGTAGATAAAGGGGTGGATGGATTATACATGGAAGGATTAATGTAGTATCTAGGGGCGAAACAGCCATTTAATTCTATAGAGAGCAACTAGTTGGTAGGGGAATTTTATTAGGTTATGCGGTTGTTAGATGAATAGCGGCCATAGTAAAGGGCACAATCAACTATATACCATCCATAAAAAACTATGCAACGCGTATAGCAGGAGTAAGTAGAGCATACTAGAGTTAGGTCCAGGCCAGGACGCAAGTCAAGGTAAGGTTAGGTGTTAGACTTGGGTTTAGGCTGGGACGTAAGTTAGGGTTAGGGTTCCAAGTATTTAGGGCATGCAAATAGAAACAGGCTAATAGACAGAATGGCTATAAGTAGTAGAGACACCCATAACCTATAAAGAAGCGTAAAACCTATTTAAAGCACCTATAATCCAAGTAAGCACCCCAAGCGCATGTAAAGAAATAGGTAATAGGTAGATAAGGAGTTAGGACGCCCCAAGAATGGTGTAGAGGGTGGGTAGGTGGTGCCCTAAGGATAGGGTAAAGGGTAGGTGGGTGGATGCACTATCCAGGACGAATAGAGGCCTATAAACCCGTCCCAAGGGGAAGGAGAAGTAGTGATGGTAGAAAGGGTGGGTAAGTAGTTATATATGGATAGAGTTAGACCCCTAAGGTCTAACCCCCAAACCTATAGAAATCGAAATATTCCAAAGATACCCACCAACCTAGTTAACGTGGAAAGACACCCACTAACCTAGTTAAAGTTAGAAGATACCCGCCAACCCAGTTAAAGTAAAAAGGCGCCCCCTAACCCATTCCAGCAAGAAGGTACCCCCCAACCCATCCTAAGGGGAAGGAGAAGTAATAATGGTAGAAAGGGTAGGTGGGCGGATGCCCATTAAATAAGGTAAAGGGTGGGTGGGTGGATACCCATAGAAAGGGCAAAGGGTGGGTAGGCGGTAGGCCTATTAGGTATTAGGGAGAAGCCGAGTATAGCAGTTAAAGTAAGGTAAATAGGCGTAGCAAAGCCATAATAAGATTATAGGCGGGTAAGCCCATAGATCGTTAGGGTTAAGGAGTAGAAATAGAAAAAAGTAGAGAGGGAAAGGAGAGAAGAGTAGAGAAATAAAGAGAAGTA